AGAGAGACACTTATAATATTACATATGCTTCTGTGCTGCACATTGATTTTACTTGCAAGTCTATTAATTAAACACCATGCATTCTCTATTTGGCTTATTCTCTTGTCTCAACAGAACAGCACTCTCAAAAAAAACTTTAGAGAACTATGGGGTTAGGGCTTTTCTAGGATCGAGAGGTGAGCGAACGCCGGTATGTGTTCGCTCACTTCTCCATCTACTGAGCCGACCTGTGACAGTCTAATTGTCACAGGTCGGCTAGAACTATGAGGTGAGTGAAAAGCACTCACCTCATAGTTCTCCTTTAAGGTCACATTGAAGTGACTCTGTTGCTATATCAAGTTTGCTAACGTAAGTTCACCCTGTAAAAGAATAAAGTACGGTAAATACTTGCCTCTACTTACTACATTGCTGTATTGTGAAGAATTACTCTTCTATGGTGTCCTTTTGAAACTGATACTTTCAGGAGTGTCAGTCTGCTGTGTCTCCCCCAGTGTTCAAGCCAACCCTTATGTACTTCAGGACAGGGCAGGTAATTGGGAGGAAGCGATGAGTACTGTGGGGACACAGCAGATTGACACTCCTGGAAGTGACGGTTTCCAAAGACACTTCAGAGAAGGATTAATCCACAATGGAGTGGCATGGGTAGCAGGAGAGCTATGTATTTACTTTATTCTTACCCCCTAACTATTACCAAGTGAGATTGTCTCAGCAATTTTGGTAAAGCAACAGATGTGCCTTTCAGAAAATGTTACAATAATAATGCATGTTTTCTGTGAACACAGTTTCCATTTGTAATAAAAATATATGGCCATTCTAAGCTAAAATGTACCTGATGAGTACCAGTCCTTAAGAGTCAAGACAGACAGTATTATCTGACTGGCCATATTACGGTATCTAATTCATTAAAGGAGAACTATGGGGTCAGTGTTTTTCCCCATAGTTCTCCTTAGGGTAACGGGAGGACACAAACTAGCGTCCTCCCATTACCCTAAGCTCAGTATACCGCGAGCTACAGCTCGCGGTATACTGAGACGCCGGAGCGGATCCCGACATGGACGTCGAGATCCGCAAAGCTGCGTGAGTGACAGCTGGCTCTGCCTATCTAGAGGCAGAGCCAGCTGTACCCGCCCCCGTCCGTTCCGCCAGTCAGCGCTGGCAGATTGGAGCCCGGAGAGGGGAATCCAGCAGAGAGCCGTGGCAGGATCGAGAGGTGAGCGAACCCGGTATGTGTTCGCTCACCTCCCGATTTACTGAGCCGACCTGTAACAGTCTCATTGTCACAGGTCGGCTAGAACTATGAGGTGAGTGGAAATCACTCATCTAATAGTTCTCCTTTAATGTGTATCTGATCTCTGATAAATCAACGCTGTTCTGACAACACCTGGCAACATACTGCAGGATAAAGAACAAGAGCAAAGACAACTAAGCATAGCTTAAATATAACAGCAGCTTGTAGGGAAAATGTCACTCTTCATGTAGCATGTGGGAGGCATAACAGAACGTGAATTTAAAAATAATTCACTCACACAAAATAGAGCCAATGACTCAATTACAGAGGTTCAAAAGTAATTATTCTCTTTAGATATGGTAAGCACAAACATATTGCACATGGATGGCACACAAAGATACAGAATCGGAGACATGGCAATTATGTAAAAGCAGCATAAATATACACAAAAGAAATGACACATCTAGATGGCATTTATTGAAAAGGATGACTGACAATTGTAAGCTACTATGCATGGCTGTAAGAGCCCAAACAAATGTATTTTCCAAGTCTGTAAAGTTGTATTGATGTATGGACATTCTGTATTTCTTTTTATGGTCAAGATTAGTCAGACATTAATTCAGTTACCAGCAACTGTGGAACCAATGTAGGGGTAGCACAGATGGTAGTACTTTGGGCCCAATTTGGATTTATACCTCTTGCCCCCTAGGACAATTGCCTTACACCAACTACCTCCCCACCCTTCTACCCAGGTTGACTGGCTGGCCTTGGTATCATACTAAGAAGAACAGACATCACAGTCATACAAAGCACACCAAGGCTGGGGGTGGAGAGGAGAGTTTGGCCAGGTTACCTAGAATTGAAGGAAAGAAGACTAAGGAAAATGAATCCCCTACTCTGCTAGATGTTTGACTCTCAGTGTATAGAGGAAGGAACAGGCACTATTTCTAAAACAATAATGCAAAACTGTGCAAGGACAGCAATACTGAAGACAACTGTACAGCAGTCTGATATATTTGACTGAACATGAATATAATGAGCATTACAGAGTCAGCATGTGATATTATCGACCATGGCCCATGTTGTTTAGTGCTACATAGAAATCTGGACCTGCCTCCTACAATTGATCTGAGTTCCAAGACAGTCAAAATACCATTTGTAGTTCTTGCTAAATGCTAACCAGAAATCTGCATGTTTAATGTAATTCTGAATTGCAGTCTTCAGAAGTCAGTGCCTTCCAGGCTAGCGGTAAAATCCATGTACATCCAACAATACAGTTTACACTACTGGCAGTTATACTACTACCTGCTTAAATAATAATTTCCTCTGTCTAAGACTTCATCTAGCACAAAACAAATATAAAAACATGCAAACACTTGTAAAGAAGGTCAAAGAGAGAAATCCATTACAAGATAATGTGATATTTCAGTGTGCTCTGTTCCTAATTGTATTCAGCTTTCCTTGGCACAGCTAGGCAATACCTTCACCATAAACACATGAATAGTATTAAACAATAAATTAAAGTAGGACAACTGGTCTAAATGATACATATTCATACTCTGCAATTGATGACTTTATAGATTCTCAATGTATAGCCGTGCATCAACTCTTTAGTGATTGCTAGTTTTGTGAGAGCTAATAACATGCATACTTTGCAGTTGAAACCTACATAGGTCTATGCACATTCTACCACGTTCCCAAGTGACAGTGCTTGCCCAGCAGCAAAATATGTTACCTCCTTTAAACTAAGCCTGTAGAGTTACTGTATTTCTAAATTTCAGTCTTCAAGAGGCAGTGCCCTCCAGGCTAACCTGGAGAGCAAGGAAAGTAAAAGTAAAGCACCGGTTAATTTTTATGACTATAGCTTAGAAAAGCATAATAGAGAATAGAAAAACATAGCTTTAGTGATTTTTTTTCTTGGACCTTTTGCACATAACACATTTAGTATCTGATAGAGTGTGGGCTCTTAGAAATTTTATGTGCAGTATTTAGATTCTTACTGTTCATTACATATCTAAGCAGTTTGAAGATGTATCTTTTACAATGTATCAAACATGAAGACGATCAAAGAACTAGCAAAAAGCACCCCAAAAAAATCTAATTTGTCTGCATCACCATTGGGACCCATAAACTGTACTTTAATATAAAAAAGTGCAGGTTGGTGCTGGGCATCTGTTGTGGCCCTGTGCCTTTAAGGAAGAATGGGCTACCTGCAGGCATGCCTGCCCTCAATGTATCCTTTGCTATATATGCTCCAAGATAGAGGCTCTCATAGATTATAGTTAGGACCACACTACACAGAGGGGCCTTGATGAGACAATGTGACTTCTACATATTTTGCAAATGTTGTGCAACTAGAACCTCTGCGTTTAAGACAAAGACAGTGTAATTTGTGTATTTTTTGCAGGATAGCTGGTAAGTGTGCTAGGAATTTGTTGTGTTTGTACGGTGGAAGGCCCTTCCATATGCACCTTACTTTAAAAGCTAGATAAAAATTGATTTGTGTGCTTGCCATGTGTTTTGCTTGCTAGATTTGGTGTGGGGGCACACTGCGGGCTTCAGGTGCCATTGTGATGTGCTGGGCTTCGGGTGTGTCCCTATGCCTTTAAGGAAGAATGGGATACCTCCAGACATTCCTACACTCAACTTATCCATTGGTATATATGCTTTGGATAGGCTTTGGATACTGTATTCCTGCCATTCCTGTTTGTACTTTGGGTGGGGTGTCTTCCATATAAAGTTCACAGAAACATATTCTTATTCCCTGTTCAGAATGCTGCCTGGAACTCAAAGCCTATATGCCATATTTGTATGGACAACACCTGTGTGTATGTGTCATATGAACATCGTACAGTATTTAGTTATACAATTCGGAAGTGTTAGAAAATATCTGCTAGCATTTTAATATAAAATATAGTGTACTGACCTTAGAACATGAGTGGATCCATTAATTGTTGTGGTTGAACAGGGGACTGTTTGTCCTAGTATGGAAGGCCTTCTGTACTTCTCATCTCCACAGCACAAAATGATGAGGAAGGCACGCCTGAAAGACTTGTTCAAAAAGGCATAGAGGAAAGGGTTGAACCCTGAATTAATATAGCCTAGCCAGAGAAAAGCTGTCCAAAGTTGCCCTGGCACACTGTAGTCTATGAAAGGGTCAATGACATTGGTGATAAAAAATGGAGCCCAGCACAGGCAGAAACAGCCCATTATAATGCACAATGTCTTAGCAGCTTTGGTCTCTGTCTTCATCCTGTGAGTGGTGTGCTGATCAGGATGCTGATGTCGATGGTCTGCTGGGGCTCCTGCCCGTTGTAATACTCCAATCTGTCTGGCATGTTCTCGTGCTGTGACGTAAATTCGGTAGTAAGCAAGCACCATTAAAAATAGAGGAATGTAAAAAGCTACCACTGAACACGTAATAGCATAGGGCTTGTTCACCATAAAAATACAATATGTTGAATTTGAGTCTTTGCTGAATTTTCTCTTTTCTATCTGGAAGAAAAGGAGAATGTTTATTGGTCCATTTCATTCGAAGTGTACTAAAATATACTGAAAAATAATATAAAACAATAACTAAAAAGTAATAATAATAATAACAACCTAGGTCGTTTTCCATTTTCCTTCAGGATTCAGTTACACAATAGGTCTTTAACTGCCTCCCGGCCAGCCGTTGTACTTACACGGCCTGCCGGGACCTTCTTGGATGTAAGCGGGCGTGCTAGTACGTCCTGCCCCGACCCCCGCTCAGGCGCGCACGAGCCGCTTACTGTGCCCGCACTGTCCATTGGACAGTGCTGTTTCCATAACAAGGTATAGAGTCAGTGAAATCTGCTCTATACCTTGCGATCTGGCTGTGCCAAATCACAGCTGTCAAAAAAGTAAACAATGGCTGCGGTTTGCAGCCTTGTCTCCATCTCCTCTCTCACACACCGTTCGGTTGTGGGAGAGAGAGGATTGAGAGCTTCAGAGATCGTCCACAGTAAGCAATTAAAGTGACATACACACACAAATTAGTACACTGTCAGTGCAGATCAGTGCAGATCAGTGTCATCAGTGTGATTCAAACTGTCATTGTGATTCAAAGTGTCATCAGTTGGATTTAAAGTGACAGCAGTGTGATTCACAGTGTGCGTCACAATATCTTCAGTGATTTAAATTGTCAGTGCGATTTACAGTGTCTCAGTGGATATCGCAGTTTCATCAGTGCAGATCAGAATCATCAGTGCGATTCAAA